ACAATTTTGTCCTTTTTTTTTGTTGCACATAAATAAACGCGCCGTCTGTCGTCAAAGGGGAAACAGAAAGCGCTGCGTTTCTGCCGCCGAACACAAAAAAAAAAAAAAAAAAAAAAAAAACGCATGTTACAATTATCTTACTAATCGACAATTAGTTAAATATCACAATCTATATATGATAAGAAGTCCTGCCTGCGCGCGTGTTCTCGTCACAATCAAACCGGGGGGAACTGCAGTGTCGCGCGAAGGATGCACAAAATCAATCAACGAGTACGTACAAAAATAAATATAAATCGTCGCTTGAGTAGAATACAGTGGCGCGGGGATCGTGTAGCTCACTAATCCGTCTGTTTGGATAAGCGCATGCACAAATTCTGCGTGGCACGATTTACTCGATCGATTCGCAACAACGTTCACGTGAACAAAAAGCGCCAAGAATAAAATAGCTCCGGAGTCGGAAGATAATTTTAGAGCAGAAACTCTCTTAGCAATTTTGCTTTTTAAGATGCAAACAAAAGCACCGGAATCGCAATCTATTCGTTTTTTTTTGTAAAAACTGTCATATTTTTTTTATAAACAATCGTAACATATTTTGGAAGGCTTCGGTTCGGTTTACAAATCAATCGACAAAACTACATTATTATCGACGCTTTCGGTGCGTTAACTGCGTTATTTGCGCCACGTAAATTCTTATTATCGCACGCAGTTGTCCGTAAATGTTTGTTATTCAGAGACGTAGTACAGACTCTCTATATTATTGAAAGAGCAAATAGATGAAAGCGGATTGACCATGTCATTTCTTTGTACAAAACGTCAAATTTATCGTATTTTTATGTTTTACACAAAAAGTAATTTAACGGTAAAATTACATCTCTTTTTCGTCAGCGCGTTAAAAAAAAATCAAATCATCCATTGGCCTCTTCAATTTCGCGTATTGAAGTAATATACCGCCATTCGCTCGAAAGAGACACTCATTCGTATATTTACATCGTATACTCTCTCTCTCTTTCTCTCTGATCTGTGTCGACATTTCAATTCGAAATGAACCACCTCTATAAATTCAAAACTAGATTAATCGGAGCTACAACTTCCATTGCGTGATCGTTTGACAAAAATGGTAAAAAAAAAAAAAAAAAAAAACAAGAAGCGAATAACGTTAAATAAATTGCGCTTTGCGTTCAAATACACACACACACGCACATATATATGCAAAAGGAGTAAGAGAGATCGTGATCGATAAAAAAAATATATGTATATACATGCATATATACACTTATACGTGTGAGAGTTATGTGTGTGTAAAATCTGAGACTCTGCGGTATCAACATCTGTCTGTCTATAGGGAAATAGAAGTTCTCTCTATGCAAATACTATATATATATATAATATATATATACGTATGTGTAGCGGATGCTAAACACTTTTTTCTTTATGTACAATATAAAACAGGGTGTATGTGTGTATAATATACATAATCTGCGGTCTCTATTTACAAAATTCATATACAATTCGAAAGAAACGGGGCGCGACGCCCACGTGGCGGCGCTCAATCAATTACATTGTAAAAAATAATCATTATACAGATAATGCATACATACGAATTCACTTGCTGAAAGTCTTCCAAGCCTGACAAACGTACATACTACTCAAATAAATTACGAAGAGGCGTGATATATACGTTCAAATTGGACTTTAAAACCTTAAAAATAAACGATGTGCAAGGATGCGTGTGTTTTGTGTGAAAAAAATCTCAAGTCTTCAAAGAGAAAACTCCCCCCCAAAACAATTCCCGCAATAATACGTTTCGGAATAACAAAAAAAAAAAAAAAATGTTCATGATATCGCGATACTTAATTGTATAATTTTGACTATACACTCGAGTAAAAATCACGAACAAACTAGAATATACTAAGCGTACATCGCTATTGATTGCTTTTGGTATTTACGAAGGATTTACCAAAAGATTTAGTATATTGAAAAATCACAACGTTTTCATACCATTTCCGATACATAAAAAAAAAAAAAAAACAAACGCAAACATCTATCTCTGAAGAGCACCTAGAAATCACGTAACAAAAAACACGTTCGACGCAGCTTTCGCAGATCTGATAACGCGCGTCGCCGAGAAAAAGGGCGAGACTGAAGGAATGTTCCGCGACGCGTGTAAGAAGTTGCATTTAATAAGTCACATAACGGTAAAACTACGTGCTGCGAAAATTCTGTGTGTTGCGTGCAAAAATTTTGTTAGACATGTCTCTCTCGCAGATGTTGTCGTTCATTCGTTTTATCACAATGCTCTCAATCGCTCTTCTCATTTGCACATTCTCTCATTCTATCTTAAATCTTTTTCTTCCTATCCTACGTTACAAATTCGCCGAGTAAACAGGAATTGTGGGATATACGTCAACCCGTTGTGTTCCACCTCGTGGAGTTTCGTGGGTTCAGGTACACGTCCAGACAACGAAATTTTCACCGGATGTCGTCGGTCGAGAATCTTTCTTTAAACGTCCCACGACGATACTCGTGATCGGAGGCTGAGGGCTCTTCTCGTTGCGCGATATTGCGCGATATTGCGCGCGAGAGAGCGAAGAAGAATCACGTCGCGCATTTTCAGAGATTCGATGGAATTGTCGTCCATAGGGCGTCAACAAACAGGATTCCTCAACGATCGATCCCGGTGCGTGAAATACTCACTTCGTGATGGTTGCGGTAAAAACAAGAACCTTCCCTCCTCGGCGGGCTGCGGACGCGACATCGACTGTGGCGGCGACGACGACTAGGATGATAACGACATGGGCGGCGATGGAGAAGAGGATCTCGCAAAGGAAAGGAGGTAGACAAACGACGCCCGCGGCGCACCGTCCTCAGCCCGGGGTGGGTGGGGTCTTGTGTCAGTGAATATTGAAGTTGTACTGCTTACGAGTGGATGAGATGCGAAGCCATCGGCTGACCGCCAGTGGCTCCGGATGACAGTTTGACCAGGAAATGTCGGCGAAATGAGGATATGGCGACGACGTGGTTGTCGCCTCGACCTGAATCGACGTAGAGAAGTCCTGTGATTGTGACAGGCACGAAGATGACGACGACGACGACGACGACAGGTCGTGCTGCGACTTGTGCTGCTTCCTCTGTCGCGACAATACCGGGCTCGTAGCGTGATTCAACCTCTTGCCGTTGATTTGACTGGCGTGCTGTTGTTCCAACTGCTCCACGGGTTCGAACATGTTCAGACTCGGCATCGAAGCCTGCATCTGCTGGTAACTCCTGACCGAAACGGGCGATTGCGACGAATGACTGTTTGGTCTTTGTATCTGCATCACCAGCTGCGACTTGGTATCCTTAGTGGCGTAAACTGGCGAGTACATGGTCATCGTTTCGGTATCTATGTCCACTGGTGTCTCGCCCTCGAGCACAGTGGTGACTATCGTAGGAGGTTGCACGCAGGTAGCTGGCAGTGGTGCCGGTACCACCGGCATCGCAGATGTTGTAGTGGTACTTGGTATCAAAGTGGCAACTCCTGAGTCCTCGCTGTTGTTGCCTGGCAACGGCGACAACGACGGCAGCATCACCGATATCGGCGTCATCATCGAGCTTGTCTGCTGCTGCGAGGCGTTGCTGGTTACGATGGTAGAATTGACCAAAGTGGACTCCAGATTCCGCAGGTCATCTGCGTTAACGAAGTCATCTTCGAGTTTGGTCTAAAAAAGAGAAGTTGGCGATTCGGTAGAATAAGTATCGTAGGGTCCCATAAGAGAAGGTGGCGTTTAAGTGCCGAAAAGAAACCATGCCTTACAGGTTTAGCGGAGCCATGCGGGGCCAGACACCGATAAAGAAAATCAACAGCCTGCAATAACAAAAACAAAACAAGTATCAACCGACACCCTCTGTTTTGGCGCTGACTTGACTGGGTCGATCGATCCATGTTTTTGTCAGCAGAATATCGTATAAATTCTTTAAATTTTCTTTCTTTTTTTCTCTCTTTCTACAATTGACAACACTGCGTGTCTTTCTTATATCTTATCTAAAAGGTTCTACAAAAATTTGATTTCTACTTTTGAATGTTACACATGATTGAAAATACAAAAAATATTTCGTCTTATCTTTTTGCAACTAGTAACATAACAAAATCAAAAGTAAAAAAAAAGTATTTAGATAAGTTATTATCTATGTCTTTTGAATTCACACTCTGATAATTTATTGCTTATTTAAAAAAAAAAAAAAAAACGTTTATTGCACAGTATTGAACCAACAAGAGAATCACAAGTGTCACTTGTGATTGCGACTTACTTATGTGAGTTCTGAGAATATGTTATCATACAAGAGTATAAAGTTTCAGATACACTTTGCCCTTGCATGAGCATTAAACAAAGTTTGTAGTATATATTATATCATTATCAAGCGTATGTCGATTAAAGCGTATGTTGACGCTTAAAGCTCTGTGATTGTTAAATATAAATTGCGTCAAATTCATTAAAAAAAAAAAAAAAAAAAAAAAAAAACTAGGATGTCTACTTTTTTCAACTCTCAGCTTTTCAGTTTTAACTGCTATAAACAACAGTACACAGAAATGAAAGTTCTCTTTTCAAAGCGCAAATATACAAAATAAGATATCAACAATGTCATGCACAAATGTCTCAAACTCATTGGACGGTTACACATTAAATTTTCGACGTACGATAAGAAAGCCACAAATTCGTCGTTTTCGCATTTTTCCACAAAATGCGTCGGAAAGCAATAATATATCCAGTGCAAGTGACAAACTGCACTCACGAAGGTTTGCCTCCTAATCACACATTGATCAAACCAAAAAACTTTCATTTCGTCGCTGCGCCAGCAAGTCTCATTTCTACTGCCGCGCAAGAGAGTTGCTCGCGCAGAAGAGACTGATTTTATAAATGACAATACGGCGTGGCAAATGAACAAGAGTCACACCGAAGATATCACAGAGATGGGATAATTGAGGACAAGAAATATAAATCATAATAATAATAATAATAAATGTGTAAAAAGTTGTAAGGTACAGAATAGCCGAGAGGAAAAAAGAGCAACGTACTCTTACCTGCTTTGGCAATGGATACGTGTCTGGCAGCGATAGTACGGGCGGCGAACTTGGCGCTTCCGGCTCGACGATGGATACTGGAGTATTGGGAGCAAGAGGATTGTTTAGACCGGACGCGGCGGCGGTCGAGGAGACGGTGACCGTGCCGGCGACCGTCACCTTCGTCGTCTGTCGGCTGCCGCCGCTATTCGGCTGCTCCTTCGCGGCACGGTGCTCCGCGAGAAGCTTGTCGAAGGTTTTGCTGCGCCCGACGACCGTTCGGCGTAGCGATACCGTGTGCGCTTTGCATGTGAGCGATCTGGTGCAGGGCTTGCCGGTCTCCTCGTTCCAGACCCCGCAGTGACGGTCTGGATCATACTCGCGGTCCTTGAGCAATGACCTGTCCGTTTTAAGCCTCTTCCGTCGGGGCTGACTTCCGCTACCACCGCCGCTGCTGCTACTGCTTCCACTGTTGCTAGGTCCGGGACTTTTTCCCGGACTGTTAACGGTGTTAGTTGACGCGACGACGACGACGTTAGAAGGTCCGGCCACATTGGGAGACGTTGTCTGCACTGTGATGGTCTCAAGTGGTGATCGGGGCGACGAGGAGATCGGCACCGAGACACCCGCAGTCAAACTCGCTTGGTCCGCGATACGCTTGACGGTCGTATGGTTCAGCTTCGCACCAGCAATAGTGGGAATCGAAGAGGAAGAAGTAGATGAAGATGAAGGAGCTGGTGACTGAGCAGTTTTCTTCAGCTTTGACAACTTGCAGTAAGGGGTTTTTACGGGCGGTTTTGTGGTCGGGGTTGAAGGAGGTGGAAAAGCCGTGCCGGAAGGATGACGGCTCTCTGTGGCAAAACAGAAGGTGTGTGTTTACAAGTTTTATACCTGCAATGTACGTATACAAGTTGCTAATAAATTGCGAGCTCACTTGTTTAATAATTTAAAAGGTCTTTATAAAACTACGTTCTCTCTAAAACTTGATGCTAATCTTAATAATAAAATAATGATTAAAATTAAAATCTTAAAGTATAAAAGACTTTATTGATATATATAAACACATTGCTGCTACTATCTTGCTGCTATTATCTTATAAATAAAAATTTTACATGTTGGAACATATTTATATGTCTTTAGATCTCGACTTGAATCTTGAAACAATCAGAATGTTAAATATTAAACTTTGGAATCAAGAGCTGTTTTATTTTACAGAATACATATTGAATGAATTAAGTTGTCTATAAATGACATAAATTATGTTCATTCAACACATCCAGAACACAATTTGTTCTTTACAATAATAGCAATCAACTGTGCATACATACCCATATGCTGAATGAGAGCTTGTGGCTTCACTATGGAATTGCATATTTCACATACAACCCCATAAAAAGTATCTCTTTCTGGACAGAAGCCATACAGATCAATATCTGAAAAACACAGTAGTAGTGTTAAATTGAGAAATACATCATCACCAATGTGTATGATATTGGTATTTTAATGTAAACTGAGTCGAGCACCTTCTGCAGAAAGACGCGTGACTGAGGTTGAGGGCTGAGTTTCTGTCTCTTCATCACCTGAAATATAGACAACACAATCTATACTAGCTATCTCAAAACTATTGCAGACAATACACACAAAATATATCTCTTAGTTTTAATTGTTCATATATCATCTCCTATGTATAATGTGTTATGTATTTTAAGATATACACACATTGAATAATGTGCACATGTGTAATAGCTATGATCACACACAACAGCATACTATTGTACAGATTCGCTATACTTTAATATATTTTATTCAAAACACATCATATTTATGTCACACACTTTATATATGCTGTGATCACATACATCCTCAAATATTCAGAAAATTTTTAAGACCATTTCACCTCTGCCTTCAGAAAAGTATACTCTAATCTTAAAACTTGATTTTTTTGTGTGCCTCAACTTTTGAACAGAAATGTAGAAATAAAGAACACAACTTTTTAGGTAAAGAGTGAGTTTTATTATGTTTTGTTTTTTATTTTTTATTATTTTTTTTATTTATATACATGCATAGATAGGAAAACTGCTAGTACAGAAATTCATCAGAGGAAACGAACGTGAGGAGAGGCAAACACCATGTGTTTCTCTCTTGTAGTCTTTTTTTTTTTTTTTAACAGAGAGACAGGTGTTTACTAAATTTATCTGCCGATTGTTTTGTTCTCGGCCGGACGGGATAACGAGCAATTTGTGAAGAGACACGCTCGTTCGCATTACATAATTGTCAATCCTGAAAATCATACGCGTAGATATCCGCGCGCCGGCAACGGAGAGGCGCGGGAGGAACACGCCGGGGGAGAGAAATCCGCACGGCGCGTGCAACCTTCCCCCCGTGCCTCTCCGAGATACATCGTATACACAACACCCCCTTCGACATTGTCCCCCTCCCGCCCCGCGTGCGCGCGCTGCCGTCGCGGCCGGACAAAGGACCGTCGAAGTGAGGTTAGGATACGCATATACCCAACCGACGCCCGTCGCCGCCGAGGGCGGTTTGCGGCGTCGCGATGGGAGAGATTGAGCGCACTTACTCAGCGGCTTGTCTCGTCCGATTCTTTCGATCCAGCTTGACCAGGGCTGGCCGTGAAAGAATGTTGGGCTGTCACTTCCCGACATTGCCAATGGCGCTCGCGTTCCGAGTGAAACACGGCGCGGTCCTCGTTTTGTATATAGCGTGGCGAGAGAGTGTGTTTTTCGACGGGGGGGTTTTCGCGAGAGGCCGCGTGGACTGTCAGGTGCGGCGCGACGATACACACTCCACGCTATATCAACTATGTTCTCTCTGTCTCTTTCTCTCCCGTCGTCTCCTCTCCTCTCCTCCTCCTCCTCCTCCTCCTCCCTCTCTTTCCTTCTCGTCGTCTTTGCCCGCGTGTGTGCGTGTCACGCCGCGACTAGACACATTTGTCTCGCCTTCTCCTCTATCTTCCGCTCGTGTTCATCCCCCTCGGCCGTAAATGTAAAATCCACCGAGATTCCAAAATCGTTGGCTACACGCGCGACGAGATGCGTCTCAGTCGCGAGTTTCGACTAACATCTGCGCGTCGATGCCTGTTACCGCGAGGCGTCGTCGCGCGATCCCGACGATGCTGGCTGGCCCCGTCGATCCGCGAGCCTCGTTTCCGCGTGGTTCCTCCAGTGCCACCGAGAATACACACACACACAAACACAACCGCGTGTCGCACGCGCGTACACGACGAGCACTGGCGAATTTCGCGCGGCGGTATTGGCCGGCCGTTGCCTGACGTCACGAGCCGCCGTGAGCGTGACAACGTGCGCAGAACGGCCGGCCAATCGCGGCGCGGCGAGTCACGTACGGCGCTGCGCGCGGCTCATTGGCGTGCCGACCGTTCTGCACGGCAGGTGGATCGCGTTGTCTACGGCGTTGCTCTGGTGTCATTCACACGCATGATTTCATTGATAAATCCCCCCAGTTGAATGCGAACTACGCACTATCGCATCGCCCTTATTCTCCTCCCGTCAGTTTGCTTTTGTTTGTTTTTAAACGACTTATCGATAATTACATTTACAAACAGTTAGAATAATTTGTTAAGAATTTTGTATCTTTTTTTTTGAGAGACTCATTGAGTGACTCATTGAAATGTTGAAACAAAGTCACATAGTAACAGTTACGGTAATTTTCGATCAATCACATCATTTTTTTCATTCACGCGAACATGTTTATTTACAAATGCGATAGCGCTATTTTCTAATGTTGAGTAATGAGAAACAATTGTTTTTCTAGAGCAGCATTTTATTTTGTTGTAAAAAATAACTTTTTTTTTAACTTGGTACACACATAAAAGTTAATAAAGTAAAAACTAACTAAACTCTAACGATTTAAAAACCCTCATGGCGACATACAACAATCATACTATAGTTATTTCGGAAAATCTGTAAGAGTGTTTGGAATATTTTAAAAACAATTGAAAATTTATTCTCTCGCTGGTCGAAATTTTGTAATCACATTATTTACTGTATATAAAACAAGTTTAACAATTTATACTCGTACTCCAAAAACACTTTTATACTCGCGCACGATCACACGGCCACTCGCTTCGACCATACATACACGTATCTTAAACTTCTCTCTCGTCATCGCGAGAAACCGAATCGATCAACCTATAATCCTGAATAATCAAACGCAGAAGAGACCACTTCTTCTTGTAGATATTTCTTCAAAGAAGATGACTTTGACTAGGAAATAACCGTTGTCGTCAGCGGCCATAAATATCATCAGAAATTGCTTAAAACAAAAATGCTTAAATTTACAGTCTTATCGATGTGTTCGATGTAGAATTTTTCTTCGTTCTTCCTCTTTCTCTTCCTTGTCTTTCTTTCTTTCTTCTTAACCAGCGAAGAACGATCGCGCATTGGGTTGCGTCTCAACCGGCTGGGCAGGATTGTTCACGTCACCGCGATGAGCCTGAATCGCCTGCCAGTTGACGAACCAGAACGGCCATTTTTCTCTCGGCCACGACAGGATTCTGTTCACCAGTTCGATATCGCCGTGAGCGTCAATCGGCAGATCCTGCGGATTTATCGTGGTCGTGGACGGTGCAGCTGAAGCTGCGGCACCATCTGCCACACCGATTCGATTACCGATTCCTGGGTCGACAGCGCCAGCCGCGCTTACCGTTGGCGCTCCTTGGAATTCTTGGCCCACTTGATTTGTTGGAGTCGCTTGGCCAGCTGAAAATGTTTGACCTGGAATCGCTTGGCCGATCTGGTTTGCTTGCGCCGCCTGTTCCGCTGCTATTCGTTCGTCAATGTACTGAGGTAGTACCTGGGGCAGACGATTGCTGCTGCCTGCGTGCCAGGGTCGCTGCGACTGCACCAGACAGAACACGGTGGTGAAGAGTACGACGTACTTCAACTGTAAAGATAAACAGTTGTGACTATGAGAACAAAGAAGTCGTGAAAGTCGTTTCTGTTGGTTAAAAAATGCAAATTGAAAAACTTTTACTCTTTTAATTTTTCACAAAGTTGTGAAATTAAAATGAATCAGTTGTAAATCTTCTGAAGAGAATTGTTTCAATTCTCATTAAGAGGTTTTGTTTATAATAATGTTGCACTACTTGTTGTTCACATTTTTATAAAATTATTCTACTGACAGAACAAAAAAATTTATAAGAAAAGAAGTATACGTTTACCATGATTGTCGAATGTGTGTGTTGCAGGAATTTGATTTGAGAATGTCGACGATTTCACCGACAATAATTTAACGGGAACCAGAAGATTCAACGGTTATACGATATCACCGTTCGAACTTGAAGTGCTGGTGTAGCAAGAATTTCTTCTCCTATATAAATCGCCCGGCTGAACCGCGATCCCCACTACGTGGGGCCGACGAGTCATGTGGGAAACTTGCTACAAACTCTTCCCTCCCTTCCCGATCGGATTCACGATATCTCGCAGGACGCAAAAGTCTTTCCGACGACGCGTATACAGCGCGACGTCGGATAAGAAGACATTCCCCGAAAGCGCGGCGTCTGTGACGAAGTCAAGTTTTCACAGACAGAATGAACTTGCAATTTATCACGATGATAAAACTGCGTTTTTCGACCGCGCGCTCCGGCTCGTTCATGCGCGTAAATTCCGCGATAATCGGGGAATTCGATTATGGAATTTAAATTTAAGATCTGATCACAAGACTTAGTTTAATCGAAAACGCGAAGAATGGCGGAGAAGCGTAAAATTGTAATTTTGCCATACCGTAGAATTTAACATATTTGTTTAATTATCTAAAATTACAACTTTTGTGATATGATATCGAACATATAAAACATTTACACACACACACATTGAAGAGACACAAGAGAACCATTTACGTAAACAATTACTTAACGTGACAAGAGATTATTTATTATATCAAAAGTTTAATTAACAGAGAAAATTAAGTAAACAATTGTATAAAAACACACATTCTCTCAAATTATAATTATTTGTTTATAAAATATATTTTTTCCCTGGATCTACACTTGTGCGTGCACAAGTGTGGAAAGTACGCGTGTCTCGCGGTTCGAAAGTAGCTGATGACTTCATGACATTGTTCTTTTAGTCACGTAGTTTGTCACTTTTTATATATAGTATATATATATATACACACATATATATAATTTAATATTTTCAAAACATTTGTTAATGAATGCAGGATGCGGTCGAGTTATCATAAACTCGTGTTTCTCCTCGCGACGCGGTGCGATCAAGATTTACGTTTCCGTAAAAAGAAGAAGCTGTGAACAAAACATTCTGCGCACGTTTCGCGATCGTCGCTTTTTTTTCTTTTTTGTCGAGGAAAACTGATCCATCTCTCCGACATGACAAAGCCTATTCTTCTACGTTCGCGCGGTATTAATGTGTTTTATAATTTTTAATTCGCTGAATTTAATCGTCGAGTGCCAACACAATGGATGACGTCGTTTCTCAAGCACGCATCCGAATCGCCAAACGGTCGATTTCTTGAATAGAGCGAGGCGCGCAAATTTTGCAAGGTCAACGTCGTCGATGAATCTCATGCTTTTCCAAGCGAGGCGTTACGTTCGCCGCGCATGTATAGATATTTATCGCGGTGTATTCATTGCGATTTTAACGTGATATCGCATAGAGTCCAGAGTGGCGAGGTTTAATTAAAACCGATATAAATCCGCGTTCTTTCTTTCCGTTTGAAAAAAAAACGAAAGAGTTTTTTTGTTTATTTCCGTTGTGTTATTGAAAGTGCAAAATAGCGCGCGATCGTCGTTGACGCGATCCGCAACTTGAAAATAAATCATTAAGAAACATTTAATTAAAAAGCGACATATCTCGCGGCGATCGACCTCTTCCGAGAAGACCTTTGGGAGATTTCATAACTTTTCTTGTGTTTGTTACATTTCCAATATTACGCGTCGATTCATCTCTCGTTGAGAGATAAGCGATGCAAAAAAATAAAATGTAGAGACGCGGTGCAAAAATCAAATGTTGGCTGACAGTTCATGGCAATGTTTTGCAACTGTGGAAAAAAATAGCCAGTTAAAAACAATCTTGTTTTATCTGGCTATTTTTCACACTATTTACGACGCGATAAATTTCCACTTTCGTCAGTTTTACTTGAAGATTCTCACTTTACGAAGAAATGGAGCGTATTAGCACTGAAGTTATCTCGAGAATTAGTTTTTTTTTTTCAACCTCTTCTCGTAAGATCAGTAGTTTCCTTAAAAAACTTCCTCTTTTTTTCTACAGTTTCAATAGATCACAAACGCTTATGGAATGTTATTTTTCAAACACATTGCAAAAGAAGACCTACAATCAATTGCGGAGTCGAGAGTTTGTGGTTTCTGTCGAGCATTCGCGCGGGACATTATAACAATATAATTACGATATAATTGCGGGAACAATTAACGACGCTGCGAACACAAGCGATTGTAAAATTAGTACATTTTTCATCAGAAAAACATTTTTCTCAGAACTCATTTTTCCCGTTGTATCTCATTCGACTTTTTTCATTTGAATATCTCTTTTTCCCCATTTGATCATCTCTATGTCCGAATTTCCCGAGTGATATCCTGGCATATCGATTCCAGGCAGGCGATGAAGAGATTCTGTCTCTTTCAATTATTCTCGGTGTGAAACATGTGCTCTCATTCCCGATTTAAAAAAAAAAACTCGTTTATTTCATACGCCAATTAAACATAATTGGTCGGAATTTTAGTTGGCGGATCGACGGAAAAATCCGAGAGCAAACAAGATGCATTTTTCGATACAACCTTGAAAATGATTAATATTGAAAGGAGTTCACTTTTAAAGATCAAAATACAAAGTTCGCACTAAAATATTGTTCAAGTCAGAATATTATTAATATTATTTTTCGCCAAGAAGAGAATTGTCTCGCACACGTGCAAAATTATATTTATAAAATTTTTATAATATTTAAAGATTTTTTTTTACATATATGTGTATGGCTTTTCAAATTTTTATAAAATGATATTTTTATGACGTAACGTAAACGCAACATAGTTGGCAACGAATGTAATTCAGGTAGGATGTTATCAGTCGTCGCATCTTGAGTCATTTCAAATGCCAATGAGATTTTCCTCTAAAACGATTAGATGAGGTTCTTTCATTCTTTGCGAATTAGCAGCTCGTGCGTGTCGCGAGAGTTTCCGTCACGTATGACGAGGTTCCGTCACAATTCCCGTGGTAACACAGAATTACGTATACACATTAAAATATTATATTTACGCTTGCTCTTCTTCACGACGCGGCCGTGACATCAGATAGTGCCAAATCGAATGAGGATTTTACAGGACTCTCCGATCGCTGCGGGTATTATGTCGAGAGCCGGGTTTTTCCCAGCCCGGCTCTGAACCATCGAAGCGTGATAAATTTCATCGCGAACAAGGCCCATAATTCCCGTTAACGTAAAAAAGAATCACGATCGCGTCGCGGCTCTCATCGGTCGCTTTGTTGTTTTCGGAAAATCATGAATGTCAGAGTCACTATAAAACGCCGGAAATTACCCCATTAACGGGAGCTATCAAGAAAATCGTATCTTACAAAAAAAACATCAGTTGTGAAAAAGTGTCTCGACGTATAAATTGTAGATCACAATAAACGCGTTTATTTTTAAGAAGTGCGTGTAATTCTTCATATTTCCGTTTTTTAGATAATTATTCGAAAAATATTTTCATCAACGTGTTCTGTCGTTGATTTTCTCTTCCGTATTAATTGAGAATTAAATTGAGATAAATGACGCGTAATTGTTCGATCCATTATGTATTTTCTGTAAATAATATTTAAGTTAACATTACGCACACAGATCCACACAGACATCCATCTATCCAGACACCCATTAGATATCTATTAGATTCGCATGGAGCTGTCTAATGGACGTCTAATGGAATTTTTGTTTTGTGAGAGTAATAACAAAATCTTGATTCTTGGTAAATACGCACAATTAACAACAGTAAAAAAACAAAAAATGTACTAATGATATTGTCTCGTGCTTGCATAATACATTTCAATCCAGAAAAAACCGGCATAAAAAACAAGTCGTTTCCGTGATTAAAGAGCTCCGGATATATAATTATTATTTTTCTCATGTGTAACATTCGTATCAATACGTCTGTCGTGTTATTAAATCTCGATGTAGATCAACTATAATACGCGTGCTAGTTTAGCACGTGCGTTTTTATTGGTACATGGTTACACAAGCGATCGAAGTTTTGAATCGCCTACGTCTACGTCATTGGAATAACTGTGCGCGTCAGATACTCACAAAACGTCTCTGTTCAAAAAAAATAAAACAATGAAATCTTCAATATAGAGATCAATATAAATATATCGCGCACATAAAAAAAATTTAAATAACATACATAAATTATATACAAATAAAAATTAATATTGTTATCTTTATTTATTTATTGACGAGAAAGTTTCTAATATTATATAATATTATATTATCAAATGTTATATATAAATTTATCTATTTTTATGTAATTATATTATTTTTATTATATGTATATAAGAGCACGTTACAACTAATGACGTAAGTATTTTTCCCTCAGCTCACGGCTGGCATAAAAATAAAAATTACGACGCAAAAGTAATTGATAAACAAATGTGTTGGAAACCAGTTTAGCAATGCCTTCAATGTAATTGTGTATGTTAATGTTATTGTGGCACAAGCACATTATAGTATTCCAACGATATATTCATCTTGTTTTTACAAGTCACAATTTATTACATGTGTAGATCTTTGGTGCTCATGCAAAAGAACGCTGAATAGAAAGGATTAAATAATGAAACAATAAATAAAGTGAAACAAATTATTATTTTTTTTCCACCTGAACGTCGCCTTTGAAAAGGCCTTTTATAATTATCTTTCAGTTATATCAGCGTCATCTTAAAATTGTTTGTGAACAACTACTCTCTGAAAAACCACACGCGAAGCTAATCGCCATTACAGCTATTGCTCGAGAATGGCATGTTTTGATTGAACAGATATGCCATTCTCGAGTACAAAAGCCAAAAGCGCATAATCGATGCAACGACTTCTTGGTGCCAGGATGGTACGACAAAACTAGTTGCGACGACGAAGTTACGTAAGAGATCAATCATTTCAAAATTCACTCATCAATCCTAGTCTTTCGTCTCAGTGAATATGTTTATCTCCAAACGAGATTTTGTATGCGTAATTGTTATATATACTCTCAAACATTTAGTTGATCAGATGAAAGAGCAAATTGAGACGTTTATAAAAATACGCGCAATATTTACTAATAATCTCAATAATTTCAAAATATTTAGTATAAATGACAAACATTTTTATTCTCAATTTATACAAATGTGTATATAAATTATCTTTACGCAGCGCGTTTTGCACGATCGTAATATATGCAAAAAAAATTAATATAAAAGTAGATAATTCGATTGCACAACTGTAACGTGTTAATCGAAATTTTGATCGATTTTACGGTTTTTAACCGTTAGAGTACTGTGGGCGCATATATCCGCTCGGGTAAAAACTGTTAATAAAATAATTAGAGTTTGTAGAATTAGATGCGCGGAGTCGCACAATTAAAAATTATGCTCAATTGCGCAATCACCTAATAGTTTAAGACCAAACAGGTTTCACAATGCTTGCTTTTAAACGAGCATCAGCTGCGTCTGTACTCTAAGAGTTAATCCCGGAAAAAGTTTGATCTACGATCTCGATTAATTTTAACTCATTGCTAATAATGCGTTCTAATTAACTCTAAGAACACACATCTGAGTCTGTGGAACTCTGTGCATTTTTTTACATTTATTTCTAAGGCATAGTTTCGATGGTAAATCAATTGTTTGACAGAATTGTCAGACAGAACTGCGCGACTTTAAGATTGCATTCTCAAAATTTTTCAAAATTTTGCAGATATATGTTTTATGGTCAGTGTTGATGGAAGTAAGACGTTTATAGGATTAGAAATTTATAACGCGAACAAAAGTTCTATCATCTTATCTTATTCTGTTGTCTAAAACATTTTGTGATCTCAATAACAACGTTATATAGCTATACAATCACGATACGTATCGAAGTACCATGGTTTTAAAGATAAGGATTTTCTTTTCATCTCTATTTCAAGTTAGTGTATTAGAAAACGCACATGAAGCGTGCAATGCCAAAATGCTCTCTTACTATATAATATTATAGCATATATATATATATATATTACATAATTTATAGAACATATGAAAGAATCACAAGTATATCAAAGTAGCTCCTAGCACTACTCTCTAAGTCGTGCCAGTCTTTGTGTCAGCTCATCTTGCTCCTGGCTTGCAGCCACTGAAGTACCAATACTGCCTAGTTGACCCGATGGTAGTTCCATGTTTAACTCCAGTCTGTGAACAAATAAAAATCAATTCAGATTACAAAGTAGACGAATAATCTACATAAAAATCTTATTTATCTTGAGATATTTTTTACAAGTGCAGCAACATAAACTTCGTCTTTGTCAACATTGTCTTACCCAGCTTCGTCTGCAACTTGCTGCATCAACGCGTCAACATCATTTTGAGGTACATTGGTAGTCGTGGTTTGCGACATCGCGTTCTCCATGTACGAGCTCTGCACGTCCAAGTCTTCAAATTGGCTCTCAAACTTGTCCATAAGACCGGAAATTTTTTCTAAATTCATCGACTTCATGGCGGCATCCATGGCTTTGACAACACCAGCCATCGACTGGGTGACTTTGCGAGTGGTGAGCGCAGTTTGCACTCTGCTGGCTACGGCGTCCACTCTGGCGCTCATTCTGAGGTAGTTCAAGGCCTGATTCTTCTGCCGAATCGCATTCTCTGCGTGAATGCGAGCACCTTCCATGTTACCTTTCTGTATTGCCTTCTTGACCTTTGCTTTCTCTATTTTCTCCTCCTTTTCACATTTTTTGGAATTTCTCTCTAACTCCTTCACAGCAAACTTCAAATTAAATAAGTTTTCTACATTGTGTTAATTAAGGAAAACAATTCACGTTAACACGATGTGGACTTCCAACTGTGTTTGAAAATTGGAAAAGAAGAATTCATGCAAACATCAGTGGTCGAGAGATCATGATCTGACAATCACTAGTGTGTTCTGTTTAAAAAGTATTTTGTATTAAACATAATTACTATAAAGAGAAATCAAAAATTTGAACTGAATACGACTAATTCGATATTTGAAGGATACTTTCCATCTGAGAGACGGACATGACGGATTGTTCAGCCCCCGTTGTGACGAAATAAAACGAAAACCTAACCTCAGTAGAGAAGATACGAAATTTCGTGTGGTTTTTCGAAAAGCTCGGGGAAGATTCTTCTTCTTCTTTGTCTTGGTCTTATCTCCCAAAAACTAATGGCCAAAATCACTCCACAATTCTCGCTCAAAAACTATAAATGTCGATGCATCAAGGTGCGTTACTGGGCATCACTTGACATTTGTAGTCATTACACTTATCTCACGTGAGACTGCTTTACCATGTAGGTGTTCTATATATATGCGTGACATATTTACTAAAAACCGCGGAGATTTTCAACAGATGGCGGTTGAAAAGATCGAAATGACGATCGGCGCTAAAAATTCGAATCAGATCTGCCTGCACGCAGAGAAAAGACTGAAAGCGAAAGGGGCTATATGAAAACCTGTAACAACAGAGAGAAGACTGAGAGAGCGGCCAGGCTCATAAGAGAATGTGTTATCGCTTTTCCGTCTTGTAAGCCAGCGCAATGTCCTTGTGTGTTTGCACATTGGCAACTACGTAGCTATGTCCACGAACGACTTGTCGATGCGTACGCTACGTCCAAACGTGGACACGATTCTATTCCGTGCTATGTCCACAGCGTGCGGTTCTATTCAGTGTACGAGTCCAAGGATGCGGTGAAAGCTTCACTGTAAATTTCGATGCATCATTTTATCTTTATTCTACATTTAACGAGAAATAAAGATAATTATACAGCTCGAAAGAACAATAAAATATTAGGGACACAATTATGTTACAACTATGCTGTACAACATTCTAAGAACTATATAGCTATATACATATAGTGAACATAGCGCTGGCTACAGAACAGAAAAGCTATTAGGGTTGGTTTATAATAGCTGTAACTGCTAACTTTGGCCAGTGCCGTTAAAGTTGGAAGATAGAAAGCTCGTACTTCCGTTTATAATTTTGAACAGTAGTACGCGTAGTTCCTATCTTCCAGCTTTTACGGCTTTGGCCAAAGATTACGGCTATTATAAACAAACTCTTACAGTTTTTTTATATGGCCCTGGCCGCTCTCAATCTTCGCTCTGCTATACGCATGGAAAAAAGAAAAATTATTCTTTATACATGTTGTTAAGTGAGCCGAAGACGAGAAAAACGGTTCTATACTAAAAGTGGATTTAAATCTTTTTTCTGTGATTATGGTTATGACTTTATATTGTATTATATGTATTATATACATACTACAGTAATGTCACTGACCTCCGCCGCGCGACTTTGGCGGGGTCACTGACCTCGGCCGCGCGGCCTTGGCGGGGTCATTGACCTCGGCCGCGCGGCCTTGGCGGGGTCACTGACCTCGGCCGCGCGGCCTTGGCGGGGTCATTGACCTCGGCCGCGCGGCCTTGGCGGGGTCACTGACCTCGGCCGCGCGGCCTTGGCGGGGTCACTGACCTCGGCCGCGCGGCCGCGGCGATGTTACTGACTTCGGTTACGTAATTATGGTATATATATATACATATATGCGTATGTGTGTGTATTATATATAGATATAGAATATTACATATAATATATATAATATTCTCTTTTTTACCCTTTTNCCTGTCACGTGTTGTTTTTCCACTTCTCTCTCTCACTATTTTTTGAGTTTGATTTTCATGCGTTATTTCTGACATTTCTCATATGTGTATTATATATGGTTTATAAGACGTATATACTATCTGTCATCGCGGTGACAGGTTGTGTTCACTGACAACACGTTAAATAAAAATAACAATAGCGTGCGCGTAGCGCGCGCCTGTGTTGTGCTAGTAATAGTAAAAACTTAAAAAAAAAAAAAACTCACAATCAACTATGTTTGGACTCTTACTGGCCTGTTTTTTATTCATTTATTTAAAATATTGTACAAACTGCTATAAAATTATGCTAATATCAAGTATATTTTCCCTAAACCCGTTGCGTGCGAGAAATATCGCGGTAAATTGTTAACGACCGCGGATGGAGACATGGCAAATTGATCAATTACGTCTAAAACCTTGCCGGCACTTGCGGTTTGCGCTATTATCAAGTAATCCTAAGTACAAAGACAACGTACGTTGTGACAATCAATACGGAAGATATCTACAGGATCTAGACGGAAATCGCACTTAATAAAATTATTTTCAAGGAGACTTTTATGAATCAAATTATCTGTTATATAAAGAGAAGATGGATGAGAGACAGAACCATCAGTCATAAAGTAGATATCAGTGATGTTGGTGACAATTCTGCCATTTTTTCTGGGTATGTTTTCGATATTTATGAGTAAATTGCTAACACGCAAGAGCTCTTTTCCAGATAGCTTAGAATATATATTATTTATTATTTATATTTATAATATAATATAGTGTGTTATTTACGTATTTACGAATGTAGACGAATAATTATCAAAAACTGTTATTAAGTATTATTATTATATCTATTTTCTATTTTGGTAAAACTTTTTGTTTATTTAACGATATGTACATATATATATATACATATATATATACAGTATTACAGCTACTTTCATACTCACTAGATCCATTATTTGTTCTGATCTCATGCTTCCGCTCGTTATCTTTTATCACTCCACAGCCGCGAACATCGCCGTCGACGGTCCCTATCGGCGGGCCGAATGGGCGATGTACGGCCCGGAATGCACCTATGACGTTCTCGTCAACATGTCCTTGGCCAACATCGTCCAGGACAATGACAATTTCTGCGCGATGATCGCCACCGAGCTCAAGTGCCGGCCGAGGGGTCACGACATTCTCAATTGCCGTTTTGAGAACGCGCGGATTAAGCGTCCCGATTTGAAGGACGACAGGTGTTCGAACGCACGCGACTTCGTGCCCACAAGGTACAGATTTGTGGGCGACGAACCGTTCGAGATACGATTCAATCCGAGAGGCGTCGAGAATCTGGTGGTGCACAGATCGATTCCCAGATGGAGGCTCGACATGATCAAAGTTATAGTCAGCCAGTTGAACATCGGCTTCGACGTGCAGGAACGTCGCGAGAGATTCACCATCATGGAAAACTCGACGGTGGGTTACTGCGAGGTCGACGTTAATGTCATCCGCGGTGGTTCTTCGGAGGAGACGGACGACGATGACGACGACTCCGTCGAAGAGGGCGAGAACTTCGAGATAGGATTCATATCGCTGACTAACGAGCTAATGCGACCCGTGACAGAGAGATTGCGGGTGGAGAAAGTGCGGCATCCGAAGAGGTGCCCGCGTAGAACGATTTACTTCTTCGGGAATCACGAGGATTACAGCCACGGCGACAAAGATCTTTACATGGACATGGTGAGTTACTATGGTAAATTGTAAAAATAATCAAAAAACACCCAAATCTATTAAGAGAAAAATTCAAAAAGTCATTAGAGAGATCAAACGCAAAAGATAATCTTTATCTAAATCTTTATCTCCGTATAAAGCTGGAGAATAATCCGAATAAAGCGATCGGAACGTTCGATCACTTTTTTTTACAATAAAGTAAATCACACTATTAACCGGTGTGGAATAGGAGCCGTTTAATAAAACGTTATGTCAAAGTATCAATGATCGCTTGAATTTAAAAATCCTTTCTACAAATAATTTTTCAATTGGGACAAAATTCTTCTCTACGGAATAAAATTCTTCTCTATAATTTTTCTCGTTTCAGACTACCTCTGTGAGCCACATTACGATCTCGAAGAACAAATTCGCGTCCTACACGGTATCTGAGGGTGTGATGAAGACGGCAAACAAATCGCGGATTATGCGTCCTCATCAGAACATAAGCCTGAAATTGAAGCGAATCGATCTCGCTCGACAATCACTGCCGGAGATTCAAAATCCGGCCTCGACAAGTCTGTTCGCGTTCTCCAATCTCGAGACCATTTCGGAAGATGCGGAATCCAAAAAATAAAAATATTAAAAAAAAAAACACAATTACTCTAAACACGTATATGTATATAAAAAATTGTAAATAAAATATTATACACATTTCCGAATTTGCATTTATAATGTACAAAAAAAAAAAATTAAAGCTAATAAAAGCTTGTCGTAAAACTAGTGCGGCAACACACTCTCGAAAATTGACATAATTCTCTATATCATTATAGTATCTCTCTCACCGAGCGCTTCAACGTCAGCGATTGTTCCTCGTTACAATTCACTCGATGTAGAGAACTAATTTGATTTCATTTAAAGCTCGTGCGTAACGAGCGGTCTCTGCGCCGCGCTTTAACGAGTCTCCGGGAAATGTTTGTCACGTGTGTGTCGTCATTCCACGGAAATTGTCATCTGCGTTATTTTTTCTAGCTTTTCGAAGACGCGACGGTCAAGGATAATGTGCTTGTCTCTCGTTGCTATGTTTTACGTGAATTTATTACTGAGCATGACCAAATTAAATATTAATGAACAATTGATTTTTATAAAGAATAATTTAAAAAAAACGTTTCTAAAAGGATATAAAATATTTGCTAAAATTTATCTTTTTTATTTATATGTGTAAAATTATAACAAAATGGAACAAATTTTATACTTCTAATTTTCCAACAATTACTTCAAACACTGTGTAAAACTCTAATTGCACCATAAAAAATATTAAATTTAAAATATTCATAAAAGAGTTCTCTTTAGTATCAAACTAATGAAAAAATAAGAACTTATTTTTTAAATATGTAAATTATCACACATAATAATTCAAAACCAAAATGATGAATTCGAAAACTCATATCAGATGCTTAATTTGCATCTCTTGTAACAGTTTGAATTACTATGTGTATTAGTTTACATGTTTAAAAAATATATTTTTTGCATATACATCCAGCGTTTGGCTGTGTTAAGAGATTCTTTTTTCTTGATTAGTTAAGTCTAAAATGTATCTATAAGATTCATGGTTTTTTTTTCTATATATATATATATATATATATGTACTCTCTCCCCTTTTCTCAAGCAGTAAGTATCTATATTATCAGCGAACTGTGCGGGTCATATGTAACGTAACATACGTCACATCAGGGGTTCACCACACACGCAAAGCGCCATTCAAACATAAAGCATTAAATTATGTGTAGGTCCCGATATAAAGGAGCTTGCGAGTGTGAGAGGAGTAGTGCAGGCATAACGTGTAGCACGTAGTAAAGTGTATCTCTTCCGCAAAATGTTTTCGGAAATGTATTTCATTCTGATACCGTTTTTCCTCGGTAAGTCATTAAATGAGCACAGAACTGTTTTAAATCCATGTGCATCACTGTCATTCAAAGATCCGAAGAGTCAACATCTTCGATTATCACTTTAATCGACCGGAGTGTCAATTGGTCAATTCGACTGGCCGGTTACGACAAAGTAATCGATCTATCAAATTAAACCGCGGAGATGATGAAACTCTGACTTTCATCCACTGAAGTTAGAAATACGCACGTACATTGTCTATATAAATAAAAAAACTTGCGTATGCCATTTAGAAATATTAATAGTTAAAAAAAAAAAAACTAGATTTAAAAGTTTAAAAAAGAATTCTGTGTTTTGTAAACATCTAAATAAGAAATAATGTTGCAGAGATTAAAATTTTTTTTTTAATATTCCAAAAGATAGTTATCAAAATTCTTTAAGTTGAAGATTAATGTTTCAGATTAATTTATCTCACGTGCACTATTTATAATTCTAGAAAAATTAAAGAATTATCGTTATTTTAACGACAAATACACCTAACAGTGTTATAATGTTGCATCTGATTGAACTTCCTGTTGATTTGTTCAGCTGTCAACGTGCTCGTCTTCGAGGCTGATATGAAAGACTGGAAGTTCGGACCGGAATACACGTACAAACTCACGATGAATTACGCAATAAAAACGGACACCCACGATCTCGTCACCGACATGCGACTAACTTCCACGGTGAAATGTCGTCCCAAAGACTTGGACATTCTTTTCTGCCATTTGCAGAATTCAACGACTATGGTGTCCCATCTCTCGGATCGTAACATGACGCGAGAGATCGAGACAGAGAAAACGTTCGCGATCAAATTTAACGAGCGCGGCGTGGAAAGTCTGCTGATGGAGACGCCGTTTCCCATCCAGGTCGTCACTATCGTCAGAAAGATCGCCAATCAGCTGAGCGTGGGTGTCGATCTCAATGAGCGCAAGATCAGCATGTCACAGTTCGTAGCCCGTGAGAACACTTCGATGGGCGATTGCGCCACGCGGTACAGAATCGAGCGTAAAGAGTCCCAATCGAACGACGAGGAGAAGGACACCGAATGGATTGCCAACAGCGGCTACTGGACCCAAGTGTTATCAATGACAGACGCGAGACCCAGCGATACCGTGTTCATCGAAAAATCCCGAATGGGATGCGTCAATACGCCGCGATACCTCGATTACGCGACGGGAATCTTGAAAATGGTGAAAAACACTCTGCGATTTCGTTTCGCTATCAAAAAAAAAAAACAGATAATTGTTCTTATTTTTCTGTGCCACATGTATATACACGCGTGACAAAATTCTTTGTTTCTCTTTACAGGGAAGATTCTTCAGCAAGATACAAATCGGCGACCGATTCAAAACATTCTCCGAGATAGACGGAAAATTGAGACCAGCAAATGACGCATCCAAGATATTTTTGTCCGAGGAACGAATTCATCTCAATTTGGAAAGCATCGAACCCGCGTTTGACGAACTCCCGTCTGTGTTTCAAGGCGAATTAATTGATCTGAACATCAACAATGACGTACCGAACAATTTCGTCGATTGAAGCGATACATATGAAAGTTTGTGTTTTATCTTCGCGACGAATACACAAACATCTCGTAAACAAACTGTAGAACTCGCTTAGGTATCAGATACCTAATCAAATAGAGTAAAAGCAACAATTAATAAACAAAGCATTTCGTAAAACTACCGCTTTTTTCCTCACGTTTCCAGCACATATTATCTCTCTCTCAGTTTATTCTCTCTCAGTTAATATATAGAAAAATCCCAACTCCAAAACGTTAGAAATCTTCAAAACAAAAAATCTATAAAACTTACTCTTGCGTTTGCATTATTTTTATAAATCTTGTCCAATTTTTCGTCGCTTGAAAATCGCGGATTATTTTAATTTGCATTATTCATCGCTAGATGGCAACAGCTGTTACGAAAAGGAGAAGAGGCGTTATCTTGTTATCTGTTTGACAAGATCGAGGAACAATATTGAAATAATATTGCTTATACATTTTTAAGTAAAAAAGAGAAAATATTAAAAAATTTATTTATAAAATGTAATAAATTGACTAAGTTAAACATCACACTCTAAAATCATATTTGTAATAAAGAATTCTTTTTATAAGAATTGTTGTTTTCCTTTATCTTGTATTTGTCATCGTGTAATAATTCAATTTACGTACAAAATATGTAACTTCGTACTTTCTTCTTTAGAATTAAGAAATTAAAACTTCGATTTTTTGCAACTGTTTATCAAGTTGTACTTATCGTGTGTAATACGTGTTACAAAGTTGCAGAATACTTCTGCAAATACTTAGAAACTTGTAACGAAATTTAAAATAATTTTGTTGACAGCATGTTTTTTATAAAATGCAAATGTTTATCATGTACTGTTTAAATATAAACAAATTTAGTTAATTTGTCAGAAAATTGTTTCAAAAACAAATTAATGCTATATTTTCTTTCTACACACGGTCTCATTCAGTATTCGGAGAATGTATTTCATAAATTATTTAATAAGAACGTTAATATACAATGTAGGTAATTGCCATAAAAGCAGTACAAGATCTTAAAATCTAAACGATTTCGTGACAGGATGAGGATGCAACATATGTATCTTCAACCGTTCATATCTTTGTTCTTAGGTAAGTTTGCTATTAGAAGTTTATATACATATCTTCTGTTTATTTACGTGTATATATTCTTGTAACTTTAATTTATAAAATACATTCTACCGCATATAATTTTATATTTCATTATATATTTTAGATTAAAAGTTTTTAAAATTGTAAATATATTGTAAATATATTTTATCTTTTTATACGCAAACTGTTAATACAAAATATTTTCTGTATATTCTTTTTTCTATTTTAAACAATTTATTTTTGTATTACATATAGTATCTTTCTCCATATATATTTTATATAGACAAACGTTTACAACGCCAGAATTGTTTTGTATAGATTAGCAGCTATACATGAAAATTCTGATCTGTTATCTTGATATTACTTTAAATAGATGTCCACATTCCTGTCGAGAATGGTATGTGAAAATATGGACTTGAGTACACGTCAGTGTTGACATGAGAAGATCGCTACTGTGCGTCGATAGCATATTTAAATTTGACAGTTTTTTCAATTTGTTCTACGTTCCGAAGAGACCTAACAGTTCAAGCATCAGATAAAAATACATTCTCAAAATTTTATATTTCATTTCTCACAACTTTAAATATTTTATTTCTCAGAAGTTTTTTTTATAATATTTTGTTTGACTGATATGAATCCTTCTTGGAACAATTGATGACGTCACTTCGGTAAATCAAACAATATGATTGGTCGATTTGCAAATTGACGTCATTAATCACTTCAGAAGAGATTCAACCCGTATTTTATAAATGTATTTATTTCTCGGGACTTCTCAAAAACAGAATTAAAAAATACTCGAATTAAGTACGAAACGAGTTTTATGTTTTTTTAAGAATTTTCATGTATGTAAATATTCTAAAATATACACACTGAGATTTGTCATTTTCTTACATCTAAAAAACTTCTAAGAAGAATCTGAGAACTATTCTAAATTGTGTAAAAAATAAAAATGTTTTTTTATCAGTGTAAGAAAGAAAATAGTTTTAAGCTGTCACCCGCGATATGTCAACAACATGACAGCGAGGTCAACAACTTTCTGAATAAATTAAAGAGCATCAGCAAGGCTCTCTTCGAGCTGCATTATAACGAGAAGGACATCAAGAAGATGTTGTCTCCTAATCGGTAGACATATGTGATCTCTTGAGACTGATAGTAGCCGAGCAGCTACATCCCAGTGCAACCTTCACCAATATGAGCTCACATCGTGCTTATTTTAGAACTAGAGAGTTGAAACGATATGAGTTCAAGGCTACATTTATGTCTACCGTTAGCAATTGCAACGTCAAATTTAACGTCATCGTTAGGCATATATTATAATTTTGAGCAACTATCTTAGGAAGTATCAGATGTACCGCTGTCTTATAAACTGAGTATTGGTACAAATGAAGAAATTAACATCGTGAAAATTCCAGATCTTGATAATTGATGATAGTTTAGATTCTTACGCCGGATCTTATCACGGCAAAGACTTTTCCAACGTCGACAACTGCTCGCAACAACTATTACACTTGATAACTTTGCCGTGACACATTCCTGTTTATTCACAATAAGATGTATATATATGTACACAAGTTTCTATTGGGTACATAAAACAATTTTAAAAATTTCCCCCTTTCTCTGAATTATAATTTTAAATTTCTCATAAAGTCGTTACAATTATGAATCCTGGCAAAAAAACAATGCGGATGACGAGATTTAAGAAATATTTCTACATAGCGGCGATAAAAATATTATAAAGCGTATCATAATATCATGAATGCTATAAAAATTCTAATACTCTCTGTCTTTCTCTGTCTCTCCTTTCTTTTCTCTATATGTCGTAATCACTGTGTCATATACAAAACTAGTAAAAAACGTTATACAAAACAATTTTACAGATGCAAGCCGAGAGCAAAAAATTCAATTTTCGTCGAACAGCGCATGTTGCTGTGCAAAGTTGTGCAGTTGTATTCTTTAGAAAATAAATTTCAATCCGACACAGAATGGTTTCAAAAACAACAGTACTATATTTTCTTCTACGCGGTCGTTTAGTACTTATAGCGATATTTCATGAATTACTTAATAGGATGGTTCTATAGTATAGTGTATAAAAGCTATATAAGCCGTTTAAGGTCTCAATCTAAACGATTTGGCGACACGGTGAGGGCAACATGTATCTTCAAACGTTCATACCGCTGTTTTTAGGTAAGTTTGATGTTAGAAGTATTTATGTACGTATTCTTGCAATCTGTAAAATATGTTTCACTATGTAATCTTGTGTTTGACTATATATGTTTTTTCAATATGTTTGTATTTTATAAATTTAATATAGACAAATAATCACAGAACAAGATCAGAGCATTGCTGTGTATCGATTAGCAGCATAAATAAAATTCTGATCTGTTTTCCTGACATTGCTTTTTAACAGCTACTGATATTTTTTTAACAGCTGTTCACATTCCTGTCGAGAATGGCGTGTGGGAATATGGGCCCGAGTACGTATTCAGCGTTAACATGTACATGGGAAGGCCGTTACTGTGTGTCGATTGTTGCATATTTGGCACAAGAATTTTCTTTCGCTTGTACTGCCTTCCCAAGATGACCGACAGTTCAAGATTTTGGTAAATATTTTTTGAACTTTAAATTTTATTTTATTTCTCTCAGAATTGGTTTGTTTTTTTTCTCAGAAGAAAAAATTTTCTCAAAAGAAGAGTAGAAAAATATCTGAATTAAATGCAAAAAGCCATTTACCGCAAATGTTTTTATAAGTTTTACGTATATATAAATGTTTAAAAACATATACTGAGATTTTTCTTATTTCTAAAAAATAACCTTCGAAAGTCTGAATAGATTTTCGCTTTGTTTTAGAATACTTATTAAGGTTTAAAAAAAACTTTAAGAATTTTTGTCGCCAGGGGAAGAAAGACAGCTCTAAGCTGCCGTCTGCGATATGTCAACGGCTTCATACTTAGCATGAACGACGAGGACAACAAAATCCTACATAGGCAAAAGAACATCAGCGATGCGCCCTTCGAGCTGCATTATAACGAGAAGGGCATTGAGAAGATAATCATCTCTCAAACAACGAACATGTACGATCTCAATATTCTGAGAGTGGTAGTGGCCGAGCAGTTGCATCCCGGCGCGACCTTCAAGGATCTCGATCACGACATAAACAATGTGTTGTCAAAACAATATAAGTTCGAGGATACGTCTGTGTCTACTGTCGGCAGGTGTAACGTCAACTTCGACATTAGACGTCGAATTGTACTGAACGAAAGTTTGAGCAGTTATCACAACTTTCGACTGGTACCTCTTTCGCCAAAACTGCGTATTAATTCCGACGAGATAATAGTCATTAAGAAAACTCCAGATCTCGACAATTGTAGTTGCTACGCCGAATCCTACTACGGCAAATACAAATACAACAAATACTCGCCCAAGGTCGACAACGACTATTTGCGACAACTACCACACTTGGTAATTTTATCGCGACAAATTCCTGTTTATTTTTAACGAAGAGATAAATCAAACAAATTTCCATCGATTAAATATAAAACAATTAAAATATTCTATATATTATAAAGACGTTAACATTTCAGCGTTATTGTTATAATAAAATTAAACCGATTGAGTCTGTGAACCAAAATAATATGCAGTCGCTTAATGATATTCACTCTTAAAGAAACTGTTCTGAAAAGAATATTCTTGATTTACACACGTTTCGTTTTTCAGGAAAAAACTATCAGCACCATGCAAATCGAGAAGAAAAATTTCGTTTCGAGCACGGTGAGAGAAGGAAGATTGTTCTCAAATGAGAGTATAATAACAATCACAGATGTAATCTTGGAAGATATTCGACCCGCACAGAAAGAAGCGCCCACAATTACGAAACCTGGCGAAACAACAATACAGGCTAATGACGATATAAGAAGCATTTCTACGTAACAGCAATATTATTATGTGTAACATTGTGTTATTTATGATGTCATGAATATTATAAAGTTAATTCTCTCTCTTCTCTTTCATCTTTGTATCTAATAATTTATATATATATATATATATATATATATATATATATATATATTGTGCAACATGTGCGTTACAAACTTACAGAATGAGTTTTTACAGATGTAAGCCAAAAACACAAAATTGAAAACTTTCGTCAACAGCACGTCGCGATAAAAATTTTCGTAACGCGCTCTTTTAGAAAATACGCGATTTTAGCCGGCAACGAGTCAGAGGTTTCGAAAACAATAGTGCTATATTTCCTTCTACGCGGTCGTTTAGTACTTATAGCATATTTCATAAATTACTTAATAGGATCGTTCTATAGTATAGTGTATGAAAGCTATAAAAGCAGTTTAAGGTTTCAATCTAAACGATTTGGCGACACAGTGAGGGCGACATGTATCTTCAAACGTTCATACCGCTGTTTTTAGGTAAGTTTGCTTGTTAGATCACATACACATTTTTATAATCTATAAAATATATTTTCTCTCATATACAAATGTGTTTTTTTAATCATATAATTTATAGATTAAAATGAAAAAAATACGTAACTTTATATTTTTCTTTACGTTTTTTTTCTATACACATTTTGTAACAACTTTTTATTTATTTTACTTACTTTCTGTGTTTTTTTTCTGTATATAGATATCTATTTATTTGTTCTACGTATATAATTTACACAAATAATCACCGCGCCATCAGCATTCCTTTCTAGCGGTCACGTGAAAATCTTGTGTGATGTTGTGCTGATATATTAATCAACTTTTACTAGCTGTCCATATTCCGGTCGAGAATGGAATGTGGGAATATTGGGAATATGGACTCGAATATATTTTCAACGTTAACGTGTATGTAGGAAGGCCGCTAAATTATGACAAAAATCGGTCCTTTTTCTGGCATACCAGTAATGTCACTTATCGATTGTTCTGCACTCCGAAGAGTTCAAGACCCTGGTAATAAAACAAATTCTCTAACTTTACTTTAGTTTTCAGAATTTTCTAAATAAAATTTTGTAAATAAAATATATAACGACTTTTTTATACGAATTGTAACAGTTCTCAAAACTCAGAAAAATACATCTGAAGAAATATTTATGTGTTAAATAAGTTTTCAGAATGTTTTTATACGTATCTATAAATACTGAAAGTTCTCTTTTACTTTTGAGAAAATTCTGAAAATTGCTTCACGTTTCTTAACTTTTAGTTTAGCACAAAAAAATTCAAATCAATTTGTTGCGTTTAGGGGAAGAAAGACAATTCTAAACTGCCACCTGCAAAATGTGCACAACAACTGCACGCCTGACAAAAACAATGACATGCCCTTTGAGCTACTCTATAACAAAATGGGAATCGAGAAAATGCTAATTCCCGAGTCAACGAGACGGTTCGATCTCCACGTTTTGAAACTGGTAGCTGAACAGTTGGATCCTGCTACGACCTTCAAGGATGTCAAGCATGTTTCAAAACCGTCGAATCAATATAAATCCGATGTTGCGCACAAATCTATCGTCGGTGGATGCAACATCAACTTTGACATTAAACGTCAAAAATTGCAAGATGAGCGTTTGAGCGGGCAACGCAACTTCCGAATGGTACCGCTGTTGCAAGAGCTGCATATCAATTCTAATAAAGAAAAACTCATCGTCAATAAGACTAAAGTTTCTACCACGTGCAACATAAGAACAGACCATTATTTTCAAACTTTTCTACACAAAGGACAAGACTGCCAGGAAGTAAAACTGTATCTGGTAATATTCCGTCATGATGAAAGATCTTCTGTTTATTTTTAATAACGCTCTATACGAGTTTGTTTCTAAAAAAAAAACATTTTTCAAGTTATTCTTAAATTATATATACCCACACATAGAACAAAAAGTCACAGAAACCTCATTAGACGTTCATTAGATATCGCATGAACAACTGTGAACATCTAATGAGGTTTTCTTGTTCTGTGTGAGTGGGTATATATATATATGTAAATATATATACGTCACTTTGTTCAGGACACAATGACCAGTCTCATGCAAATCGAGAAGAATAGTTTTGTTTCAAGTACAAGGAGGGAAGGAAGAATGATGCTAACAAATACCAAGATATCGGAATTCGTGGAAGTAATCTTGGAAGACGTTCGACCTGTTGGAGAACCGGTCACAATTGTACAACCCAAAGAAACAATTATCATAGTCAACTAAGAAAAACAAGTTTCATTTAGAATCATATATAAATTATATAATCGTACGTGTAAAGTAATTATTTATGTGATAATATATATATATTATTATTATTATTATTATTATTTATGTAATGATATATATGATAAATAAAAGTGAGGGGGAAAATACAAACGAGTGTGTTCTAAATATTATTTTCTATTAACAATAAAGAAATGGCATTGTGCAGAGAACACACAAACACGTAGTGGTTTTTTTTTTTTTTTTTTTTTTTATTTAAATTACGCGTACATTAAATTATAGCTAGAATGATGGACGCGTGTTCACGTACACACACAATATGAAAATGCGCGTGTATGTGTGTGCGCGTGTGCATATATCTATATATGAAATGTACGTATACAATGATCGTCGTAAAACTCAGAGAGTTGTTGCAATGATTGTGATACACTTAGGCTCTAATTGCAGATGATTCTCGAGAATTTTGAAAATCGCGCGATCAAATACATATATAACCAACGGTTTTTCATTGTCGGCATCGAATTTCAATCTCAGCTCTTGTCCTACTTATTCCCGAATGATCGTTCCGTCTGTGTTACGCAAAACCATGCGTTGTGTTAGAGTCACGCATTTATCTTATTTCTCACGCAATAATAAAATGCAATGACGCAGCGCAATTCAACAAAACAACAAAATTCCGATTATCTGAGACAACAAAATCTTATTATTCCGACACGGGCAGAATAAATTTTGTGAAGAAGTATAATAGAGAGATGTACATATCTATATATATATATATACAAATCGATAACACGCATTGCACTTCGTCACATTCATTGCGAATCGTTTTTTTTTTTCCCGTACCTTTAAACCGTAACTAATCAGCGCGTCTGCCGTCAAATCAATCAATGATCCATCTTAATTCACGTCAATGACAATCACGACAATTACAAGGAAGCTACTAAATTTCTCACGATTATTTTCTAATATCCATTCGCTTGCGGCACAATTTCTAAAATTCACCGTGTAAAATTTCAATTGCATGCAATATACTCAATGGACGTTGCGCTCTATAAAGTATTTCCTAAAACAAAAAAAGAGCGCTTTATATTTATCCACCAACCGAGAGCATTTGTTTGGTCGTAGCGAAAAAAGAGACAGAAGAAACGTTTTCTTCTGTCGTTTGTTTTCTTAAAAAACAAACGATTCTCCAATTTTACATGCTCCGAGCGCACAAAGCGCGTCGTGAACAACACGCGCACAGGATCGAGAAAAACCTGCATTGTTTTTTTTTTGCAAGTACAAATGCGTTGTCGTTGGCAGATACGTATAAGTACGTTTCTCTCCGTTCACATTGAATATAAATATCGAATCACGTGTCACACACCTCGTATTTGTAAATGGCACGATTATAATAAATTTTTGTGCGTAAACGTTAGTTACATCGTTAACCGTTCGTTAACCGTCCATTTGCGGCATACATACGATTCGTCATCGACCGACAAATATTTTTTTTTGGAATACACAATATTTTGAATATATTTTACTGACATAGAGAAGCTATTATCGCGCTTTAATTGGTGACGAGCAGTTTCTCAACGGTGAAATATATCCAAGGCCGTCTCTTTCAGAAATAGTTTCACGATTAGAGCCAGGCAATATGGAAAAAAAAGGGGGGAAAAAAAAGAAAAAGAAAACTTCATCAATATCTCGCGGAAATATGCGTATATAAATAGAAATACAAGATATGCGACTGTTATATGTGATCAACATATAAATAATGTTCGGTATATAAAAATCCATTCATGCGACGTTAATACGAAAACATACCGATAAGCTTTAGACCGTTAGATGATGATGATCTCCTCTGAACACTGCGAATCGCCGATAGAAAAACGCGTAAAACAACAGAGTTTAAATAGATCACAAAAATCTCTTACATATCTATACACTATATGAAATACGTACGTATACCTCGTTTTAAGTATGCAATTTTATTACGCGACTTGTGTGTATCGTATAATAATTTGAGATGAGAGTGTCAAAAACTATCTACCTATGCGCGTCAGATAAGACGAAACTATCTGCTCGAAATGTATACAAAATGTTGCAGAAGTCTTTTTTTTTTTCGTGAGTCTTTGACGAGCGAGAAATGGATATTCCTTTTTTCTTGCGAGAAAAAAATTGCGACGTTTAATATCGCAAGACGTGTTCCGGAAGCGCATATTTTGTTGTGCTAAGTAAATCTATGAAATTGTAACTTTTCTCGAACAATTTCCAGTTAAGATTTCGAACACTCTGTACATACATTTAGAACGCGTGGCTAGTGTTTGTTTTTTGTTTGTTTGTTTTTTTTTTTGTTTTTTTTTTTTTTTAAATACTGCTTCGATGATGCGCGTTTCTAGCGTGTTTCCTATCTGCTCGCTTCGGTATAAAATCGATTTATACAAATCTGACAAGTGATACGACAAGTAGTAGCGTGAAAAAACGAGATGATATGATTGCCAAAAAACCAACGGAGAAGGAGAATCCTATCGCACGATAATAAATCAGTACAATCCGTGAGCACGTAACAGAAAACTTATTCAGAGCCGAATATAGTTTGGTAACTATAACAACCGCTGCATACGTTTTCTTTACAATATTCTTTCTGGCACGATATAAGTATATGACGTAATTTTCGAATGCTTTGACGGGAAGTATTGCCACTTCTCTTTGTTTTTTCTAACATAGTTTTACTTATTTAAAAATTTATGTTTAAAGTATCTAATAATAGCTCTGTACGGACATATGTATCCTAGGTCAAATCGTATCTAAGCTTCAACACATTAAACGAAGTCTAGCGTAACAAACTCATATTGTATATTGACTATCACGTAAAACGGCAAGGTGTAAAGTCGCGCATGAATCTGATCGAATACATTCCAATCAAACAGAGTTACACCTTTTATTTTTTCACATCATAATTCAAATTCGAACATTTCAAACATATCGGTGCTCTATAGTGGAATGCATATATAAATTGTAAATGCAAAACTGAAGCATACAAACGGGAGAACCAAACGTGATCTCTCTCGAGGTTTCCCCAAGGACTTCCCCTTCTCGTCTCGCGAATTCTTTCAACGCCTCTCTTAATAGTAGAACTCTCTTCAAGAACAAGCTAACCTAGCCTACGTATGTACAAGTATTACGCTCGTGGAAGAGACGCGCGATGGTGGACCGATCGAAAGTTCTTTGTGTACAAAAGATAGACGGCACGTAGGTGAGACGACGCGCGACGACGATGAACGAGGCGCCGGCATTATTGGCCGTTGTTCATGTTGTTCACGTTGTTCACGTTGTTCACGTTGTTCTGCTGATTCTTCACCGAGTCCATGTTTGGAACGTAGTCCATCGCCATCAGGCAGGCAAACACCGTCATCACCATCTTCGGCTTCACCTCGGTGATGTCCTCCGGTAGCGCGTAAACGCGCGCGCCGCACTTCCGCGCCAGAGATATCGCGTACTTGGCGTTGTCCAGACTTTCCTGCGCAACGAAAACGGGCGGTAGTCGTCGATTAGTTACGCCAACGTCACGAGGCGTCAAGAGGAATCGATCCGGCTAATCTACTCTAGCGTTTCCAAGAAATTGATCCCCTTTAGATTTCCGCGAACGATAAAGAATGTTTGATAGAAATTTGTCTGAACGTTAATTAGACGCGGACTAACGCCTGCAGATACGGAAACCGATATCTAACGACCGGGGGAAATAATTTGCGAGTGTGTATGTGATATGGATACGCTGGATAATCAATAAGGACAAGTACTGTAACTGATATACTGTGCATATAGTCCGGTTCGCTTGGAAACGTTCATGCAACTGCAGATTGTTATCGTATGAAATAGATGGTTTAGATGGCTTTCACTGGGCTTTGATAATTATATCCTGATAATTATATCCTATTCTGTTGAAAGAGAAATAGAAATCTGTCGAATAAAAACGCGTCTTCATTATTTAATCACGAATCTTCAAAACTCTGTGATATTTTTTTCATCGTGTATTAACAATATTTAAATTTGCAATTAAGTTTTAAACGAATTTAAAATCTCGATAATATTTAATTCGATAATAGAAAACTTTTAAAGTTTACACAACGCCAACGCTACGTAAGCGCAACATGAATGGAGTAATGCGATCGATCATCTATGGAAATAGTAGTAGTCTTTCTTACAATAGATCGAATTAACCTTGACATTCAGCAACCGACGATTCTAGAATACATCGAGAAGCTTCGTTGAAGGGACAAACAGGGAATTCTCACCTCTTCTGTACCGCCTTCTTTCACAAGATCGTAGTTCACCGAACCGGGCTTGATCGCATCGATAAGATCGAGAACGACCTTGCCGTCCGATATCGCGTAATCCTGGAATCCCTTGATGCTGCTCGTCTTTCCAGCTGCCTGGAGCTTCGAGTTCACCCACTGAACAATCTCTTTTTCCACGACAGTGCTTCCTTGAGTGCCAGCCAGAGACGTTAGGATCGACAGCGTGTACAATCTCATTAGTTGCCATATCAACGCCAACGTCAACGTCGCGTTTCCGTCGTTAATGTCTTGCCCGGCGATGCCTACAAGCGAGAAGTTCATCTGTTTGCCCAGCTCGACGACGTAATTGCAATTCTCCAACTTTTCCATGAATTTGCGGAGCTTCGTGAATTTCTTGTGCACTTTGTTCCAGTTTACGCTGCCTGGTTTGATGATGTCGTACAGCTGAAAGATCACCAGACCGTCCGCCAGATCCGAGTAGAGCCAGTTTACGTGCGGCATCACGCCCATCGAGTTCATCCAATTTCTGTAAGTTTTTTCTTCCCGCGTCTCCTCCAGTGACTCTAGACCTTCGATGTTGCTCTCCGGTTTGTCCAATCCGGGATAATTATTGAACATATTGGCGACAAAGGCCAAATTGAGCTTGTAGATACCATTCACAACGTCGTTGGGCGTTACAAAGCTACGGCAGCCCAATTTCGCGGCTTGCTGAAGCATGATCTCCGCTCTGGACATGTGATTCGGTTCCATCAGGGCTTCAAGGGTGACACCGGTCGAGATGGGCGCGATTTGCTTGATAAGATAGGTATAGATCTCAGAGTCCGTGATGTCGGACTGGAAGTTGTTGCACCGTCTGGCAATGCCGGCGTTTTCCAAATGATGATTCACCCATCTGAGAAGTATGGCTTCCGGAGACAGCTTCAGCAGATCTTCGATTCGCTCGCCATCTTGCAGAAGCGTGGCCAAACCGGGGCAATTTTCCAGAGTGATCTGGTTGAACAGACCGATTCGAATAATCTGCCATAGCAGACCCAACACCAAATGCGGCGAACCTTTCGTGAGATCGTGGGCGTCGATGTTTACGATGTTGCAACCAATAGCCTGAGCCGAGGACAGAGCCAGTGTTAAATTCTCGTGCTTTTTGTACAACGTCAGGTTCTTTTTGTTGATCGTTCGCTCGTCGATGGTGTCCGGGCAGGAGTGGTTGATTATTTTACTAAACAAAGCGGAATGAAGATATTAATCCTTCATAGTTTTAACAAATTTATGTAATTAAAAACAAACATAAATTTATAATTTCGCGCGTATTTAAAACTATATTTATATTTTCCATTAAGCAATTATTTTGCCAGGCAATTGGAATGTTGCAAAAAATAAATTAATAAACAAATGTGGCTCACAAATTTCTCTCCTATATTAAAAAAAACAAAAATAGAATTAAAACATCTGATAAGTACCAAAGCAGTATCCCGTCTTTGACCTTGTCATAAAGCGTCTTCCCCTCGGGATCAATGGGCAGCAGGTGCTTCAGATCGGGATCGTGCGACAGGTTGGTGTTGATCCAGTCGCTAAAGGCCAATTGCTCCTCGAGTCTGACGGAATGCGTGGTGCCCTCGCTGGACGCCTCAGAGATTCCGCCTAAAGTCTCGAGATTCTCTTTTTTCGAAACCACCTGCTTAAATGTGGAACCCAGTTCGTTTGCCTTCAGCTCCTTGCAGAGCTTCTCGAACTCCTCGAACGAGAGCCGACCTTTGTGCTCCAGCCGTTGCTTGTCGTCGTATTCCTCTATCATCTGGCGCACCTTGTATCCGGGCATCTTGAAGCCGCAAACGTCCAGCGCATTTCGCAGCTCGGTGACGTTGATGAACCCATCTCCGTTTGCGTCGATCTGTTCGAGAAGAAAAGAAACGTTCAGCTATCCCAATCGAAGAGAGTGTGAGATAATACACGTTTAAAAAAATTGCAGAAGCTATATGTAACAATGTTTTTCCGCAATACAGACAATTCTCTTTTGACATTCGATTGCGAATGATTTACGAAATATATAAACGGTCTCTCTATTCTAAATGCCAATTTTTCGTTCGACTGGTGTTGAGCAACAATCGTAAATAACAACGTCAAATAAATCAAGTTTGCAACACACGTCATCCCAGGTAAAATTTTGCAACAGGTCGGTCGGACAGCATTTCCGCAATGCGGTTTCCGTTGTGCGGAAGGAGATGCATTTATTAAACAAGGACGATTGCGTAGTACATATGCGCGGATAATAAAATACAATTAATTTAATGATCACGACCCGCGTAACGAGCGTTAACAAGTTTCGTAAGACAAGACGCGATAATGGGAAGATAACCGCGCGCGGAATCGGATGTGAGAATCCTTTTGTGCGGAGCGTATAATGTTTACAATGTGAAATAACGTAAAATTCACAGTGTTGTTTGAGCCGTGTTTCTGTAATTTTAAGTAAATTAAAAAAATACAAAATACAGAGCAATGAAGAAAAATTTAAAAATAAGATAAGAAAATGCACAATAAGAAAATATTTAAAAATATATTTAAAATATATTAAATACTATAAAACACGTGTGTGTGTGTGTGTGTAAAATTACAATATAAATTTTCAATGTGCATATTCAAAACGCAAGAGTTACACGTACACGTAATATAAATGTAGATCCTCTAACGATCTCGCTCTAATTAACTTCCGCATGAAAAGAGAGCTACGTGAAAGAAAATGCGCGTTACGTAAAAAAACGCGCACTCACGCACGCGATTCGAAGTCCCGGCGGTGGGACTTTGCGCGCGCGCGACAGAAATCCAGGTCGCGAAAAATTCCGCTACGAAAGATCCGCGAGTGCATATCCTCCGGGCATTCGTCGTTATTTTCACGACGCAGAACAATGGGCCGTACGGTAACGACGGGAACGGGTCGTGTGTGAGCAATTTCTTGGAATATTCGCATCGGGGTTAATCGGCGGTTTCTTATGCCCATTCTTGAGAAACGCTACCGCGAGAGCAGAGTTTACGTGTGCGCGCGACGACGGTTAATTAACATTTCATTCTCGCCGATGAATCAAATAATCGCGCATATATGTACGGACCCGTCCTCGATGACGTCAAAAGAGGCCTGGCTGGGAGAAACTCGCGATTTACGAAGAAAATCACTTGCGCGTCGTGAATCAATCTTCCGCGTTTATATTCACGCGATATTACGCAAATTCGTCAGTTATTAGACATTCAACTTGATTGCAAACGAACGACTCTGTGTGCGACTATGACGGAGTCGCGGAAAGCTTGACGTATGTATGTTCGTGAAAAAGAACAATTCGCGTTTTCCTCAATCACGAGATCAACGAGAAGAGAGATTTGATTGGACAAAGCGCACTTTTGCACCGGAAAAAGATTGCAAAATATTCAGGTGCAATAAATATATTTCTCTTTCCATTTTTTTCTCTCTTTGCCAAACTCGAAACACACGTATCACAGAGTTATTGGCGTTTCGCAAGAAGCGTTTGATGACGAAACCGCGAAAGATATAGAAGCTGAGAGCGCACTCACTAACTCGAATAGCTGTCGGAAATCTTTGAGATACTCCTCTACCGCGTCCCATCGTCGTATCTTGTTAATTTCCATGTTGGAAAAAAAAAAAAAGATGAAAACGTTTCGTGCTGTGTAAATGTGGAAAAAACAGAGTTAGATCCGCGTGACAGTCTGGAAAGTACTGAAGCTCGGTGTTGGTGATCTTATCGGTGGTCTTATCGACCGCACGATAAAAACGGAAAATAGGTGAAAAATCAAATGAAATATCCGCATCGATCACGTGCACAATGCAGAAAATTTAATCCGCGATTAATAAATTCATATAAAATAAAATTGTTGATTTATACGGCAGATGTACGGAAGAGAGAGTAGAGATTCTCACAGATCGGAGAGTCGCGTAGATCTACGTGTATCTACTACATTAGATATACGTATTTTTATGCTTGAATTTGAAATGATTCACATTTGTATACAATTAAAAAACTTGAAAAAATTTCTTAAACCGCAACTGATACTTAAAGTGCGTATATTCTCAACTTTCGAAACAAAAAGTTTGCATTGTAATGTGTATCGCTATTAATTTATGAATTTTTTAAATTATAATTTGTTCTATATTATTTTTTATTTTTACATACATTAATTTGTAGGCATAAAAAACGATCAGAAAAGAAGAAATGATAATGATGATGATGATGATTGAAATATATGTGTCTAAATAGATATATACAATATATACATATATAAAAAAAAAGTTTTATTGTTATACGTCCATTAAGAAATATTTGAGTCTACTTAATTATTTGTTTCATCAACAAAACGTTTTTGTTGACAAAACTAAAATTTCAATAAGCTTAACGAAGTTTTCTTGTTTGTCAAGTAACCAAATCTTCTTGATGTTCTAACAAATAGCTTTTTTTGTATAATTAATTGGTTTTTATTAATCGTGCATGCTTTAATTGTAAAAATCTTGAGAATTGATGAAGACAAGCTCTCTTGTAATAAAGTTTCGCACACACAGACGCAACTTAATTTCCATCGTTTCCGACGTAACCAGATTAAACGTCATCGCTTACGCAAAGACGCAAAGCTTCTTTTGAAGCGATTCACAGTCTTCGTTTAGGCATCTGGTAAACTCGTCCGCGGTGGCATAATCAAATAACCGAGCGTCGCGACGTCGTCGTCGTCGTCGACGAACAATAACAGAAAGAACGGAGAAGAATATTTGCACAGTCCCCTCTCTCTCTTAAAAAAAAAAAAAAAAACTCATAATCCGACTTAATCCGTTCGTCTCATCGCGGAATGCAAAATTGTGCGGTAATAAAGATAAGATATAAAAAGCCGCACACGCATGTGTTACAATTGCTTTTATTAAATGAGCGATAACTATGCCAATGATATTTCAAGGTCGAATGCAAATCAGATATCGTTATCTAATTTCTACGTCTCTCTCTCTCTCTCCCTCTCTCTGCTTATCGAACTCCGAAACCGCGAAATACAAAAAGCGCAAAGTTTTCTGCATCACTTTGTAACGTAATTTACGTACGTAATTTATTATTTATTTATTTATTCTATGTGGTGTAATAAAGGTTCAAAGAAATGTAAGCTATAAAAATACAATTTTGTTTATGTCAATTTAATGGCTGCGCTTTTCATTTTTCCGTAAAATCTCTCGTTGCCGAGATACCTATCTGCGCGCGCACTAGACGGTTCTTTGAAGTTCTTCCGTGTGTATGCATAACGAACGTGTCGTAAATTCGCGAAGCAAAGTACCCGTTGATGGTAAAGGGAGTAAGAGTCCAATATAACTCGAACGTTTTACTCCTCCGTCGACGGACGGGGCGGATTTAATACGTTTTTCCTCGTGAAAACGTATGATTTCTGTCGTCGCGATAAAATCGACCCGCGGCAATTTATAAACACATCAACGGCGAAGAACCGGCGGCGTCTTCCGCGCTCGATGGAATCCGGAAAGCGAAATAGGTGGGAATCAATTGAGCGCGAATGCGCGCTCGTTTCGCTCCAAGTAATCCTCGAAGTTTTTTTTTTTTTCTCGATCGTGAATAATGTCGGATCACGGCGACGAGAAGTGGTTAAACTAGACGCGCTGTTATCACGTCGTATCGCGCACATGTGGTCTTAAATATGTAAATGCCGTATAATTATATTAATCTACTGAAAAATTAATCGCTTCTCTTAAACTCACCGTTCTTATACAATATTTGAAATATTTACTAGAATATTAAGTATTTGTTTTACAAAAAAGCTTGAAAAAATATAAAACTGAATATAATAAAAATTAAAACAAAAAAAAATTAAAACTCTTTAATAAAATTAAAAAAAAAAAAAAAAATTACATAAAAATTAAAAATAATTGAATTTATTTTACGAGACTAAATATTTGAAAAAATTATACAGAAGCGATAGAAATCAAAAGAGAATCCGGCGTTCTTTGTGTTTTTATATAAAACTAAATCACACCGAAGAGTCAAACAACGACGCATTTCGCTGGTAGACGCGATTTCACTAACACAAATGCGAAACTACGTGATAACATGTGTCTCCTGCTTTTCCCGGCAATCCACGCACACTATCCTTCTTCAGGCACGCGCGTGTGCACTTCCAGGCAGCTGGCAGTTTTAGTGCATTTACAAAGAACACACACACCTGCCGTCGCCGGCGACATCAAGGTGAGGAAGCTTTGGCCATGTTCGCGCGGCAATAGCTGCGCAAGTCTTCGTAATGAATGAGGCAATGTCTCTAATTGTCTCTCGACAAAGACAAACACGGAACATTGACGTAATCTCATCCCGAACGCGTTAAATATCTTACATATCTGATATTATGATTGTGATAACACAAAACAAACAGTCGGGTAAGAAAATTAATGAATTTGAAAGAAATAGATACGAGGTTGCTACCGAGCTGGAAGTTACACTCTCGATTAGAGAAACAGCTAATTTAAGAAGCCCGCTTATCGTATCCTGTCGAAATATAACCGCAGATAACGTGCACGAGGGAAACACGTGCCATCCTGTGGCGTGGATGTATCTGTCTAGAAACGTTTCGTCGAAATTTCGTACTTTTCAAAGCAGAAATACACATGTTGGTGCACTCAAATAAAACACACTTTATACATATTTCATATTTGCGTGCGTGGTTCGTTTGTTCAAACTTATTTGAATTATCATAGCAATTTCACGGTTGGCCGAGCGAACGTTACGAACTGATTTACATTCGATTATACTCGATTATATAAATATTTGTATTCCCTTCTCTTAATATATTCTTCTTTTTTTTCTCTTTGTAATAATTCTCTGCGATATTTTTGTTTCTGTTTGAAATGCGAGC